GATCGGACTCTCGGAAGATCAGATTCAGATGCAACAGATGGCTACCGACTTTGCCGTAAAAGAAATGCTGCCCAACATGTGCGAATGGGATGAAAAGGTGAGAAACAATGGGGGGGGGGGGCGGAACGGGGCGGGACGGGACGGGACGGGACGGGACGGGACGGGACGGGACGGGACGGGACGGGACGGGGCGGGGCGGGGCGGGGCGGGGCGGGGCGGGGCGGGGCGGGACGAAACGGGACGGGACGGGACGGGACGGGGCGGGGCGGGGCGGGGCGGGGCGGGGCGGGGCGGGGCGGGGCGGGGCGGGGCGGGGCGGGGCGGGGCGGGGCGGGAGGACGGGACGTGTGGTAGCACATAATGTTGTGGGATGCCCTGTGCATAATATACATTTTTCCTGCTAGTTATACGACGTGAAATCTGAACCCTTTACAAAAAAGCAAACAATATTCATATGATCTGTTGTGAGCAAATCTGGCATGTGAAATACAGTGTGCTGTATGATGACTGAGGTTTAAACGAAGAAAAAGCTTAAGGGGGTTAGGACATGCCAAAAATAAAATATGAGAACAATGGTGTGACTAACTTCAGCAGTGTTGCTTGGTCACCAGACAAAAATGATGAACATTCCTAAATTGATTACCGCAGTTACTAGAGCTCTAAAAATCTCAAAGCTTTGTGGGACGTGTAAACTGCTGAAATGCCTAGAGGCGTGAGAACAGGCATCTGTCCTAAATTATTTCTCGTTTTCCGGGCAATGTGTCGTCTCATTTGCCGGCCATCAGGAGTACTTTCCGGTGGAGGCTATGCGCAAAGCAGCGGAGCTCGGATTCGGAGGCGTCTACATTTCGGAGGACTACGGAGGTGCTGGCTTGGGTCGCTTGGATGCTTCAGTCATTTTTGAAGCCCTCTCTCGTGGATGTGTCAGCACGACTGCCTACATCAGTATCCACAAGTAAGTTGATTGAACTAAGCAGACCGCAAAGTGTGTTGGTGGAGGTATGGTGCCTGGAACGTATCTGCAACTGGTGTTTATTGCGCCTGTTTCACATCAACTTGACAGTCCACGGGAACTTCGTTTCGGCAGCAAGGAGTTGGAATGCCGCGTCATGACAACATTTGCATTCTCTCGAGCTTTTTTTTTTCTTCTTCTTCAGAACTTTGACGCCCAATTTTCAGGATTGCAGCATCCGACAGCATGACACTGCAGCTTTTGCAATGTCATTTGTTGCCACTTGGGGTCCATTTTCGATACATGGGCGGAATAGGACGATAAAGACGCCATTTGGAGACGCGTTACAGGCACCATAGCGGCAGTGGCTTACGGAAAGGGAAGGAACTTACAGGATAAAACAGGTGACAAGACGCATCTCTTTCGTTTGGCAACATTTAGATAAAAAAAAACAATAATAAAAGCTCATTGACTACAACTTGGCGTCACGTTGAACATCTTTGCTGGGTTGCGTCAACACAGCAACCATGAAAACAAATGCCGTTTCCAGCGGAACGATTGAGATGGTCTGGCTGTTCCATTGTCTTGTATGTTTCTTCTTTTTCTTTTTTCTTTTGTAACTTAAAATTTATTATTTTTGCCCACCAATTCATACCTACTAATCACTTTAATTAGGGTTGCTACCTTTCCCCCCAAAAAAGGGGGGTGGGGGTGATTATGTGGGATTGATTTCGTAAAAAGACATGATTTCGTAAAAAGACATGCAGTGTTGACATTCTTTATTACACAAATCCAATGTATTTTGGCACGAGTTTCCCAACGTGAAATTACTAACATAGATATAATGATACAATAGCACATGTAAGCGCACAAATACACAACATTAAACTCCATAACATGCATAGATACACACCATTTAGTCAAGAGTAAACTGCCAAAAACAAATCTCTCATCTCTCCTGGTCCTGCGTAGCACAGATGAGTAAGCACTCAACAAGCCGTTTGGATTGTGCACTGCTCCTGTCACTTTAGGACACACGCAGGCTACAATTTCACTAGCAGTGTCAGCCATTAAATTTCGTCAATTCTAAAGGCTGGAATTTTCACCTGCAGGTAATATAAATATTCGTGCCCGCTAAAACTCGCAAACATTAAGGGTCTTACAGTAAATGGTCTGACTTAAATCGCGATTTAAGTCATCTTGATTTTTATTCTCCACGCTGGCTGTAGCCCTCATTCTGCTTTTTATGTCAACTCATTTCGTGTGAATGTTAGCATTTTTAATTCTGGTGTAGACAGAATAGAGGAAGTGATTTTTTTTTTTTCTTTGAATGAGGTAAGAATTGGAACCACTGCTTTTTAAACAAATGGTGAATGTGGAGATGGGGAAATGCAGTGTCATTATACTACATAAAAGGCAATTTCATAAGTAAATATTCAGAAACTACTCAAGCTGCAGCTCTCTACTCTGGTTGTAATCCCCCCCCGTTGTTTTTTAACTAGCGTTTTATCGAAATTATTTATTTTACCTCGTCGGGCAATGCCTGACGTGTTACTGGACGTTTTTATATTTTAAAAATAAATTCTGCTAAGCGCATAAGGCAGCCCAGCATACTTCAGTTCAGTGAACGTATTCCACTTGAGTGAAAGCTTGATTCTTAGATTCATAGGTGAGCTTTACTTTGCATCTGTCCAAAGGCCGGTGAGCTTTTCTCCCCATCGGACACTTTTGCAGTGAGCTTTTCTCCGGTGAGCTTCTTCTCGTGAGCTTACCTCCGGTGAGCTTTTCTCCGCCGCCCGGGAATGCCGCGGCCGCCCGCATCTGTGGACGGGCGATATGGGGGTAGTCCTGTTTAGTCGCGTGTTTCCCGCACCCCTACAGGTGCCGGCTTTCTGCTTTCTCCCATTTCCCTCCCATTTTCCCGCTCGCCGCCGCACCCGCTTAGAGATTTCAAAGGATGACTTCCTCTCTCAAGCAAGCTCGCTCACACGCTTTCTCTACTTGGGAGTCCTCAACAGATTTTCGCACGTACTTTCTGTAAAAAAAAGTATCCATTGACAAGCACTTTTTGTGCTAGTTTTTGCATTGACGGTGTAGAATGTGTTTATAAACCCCCCTTTCTAAAAAAAAAAAGAAATGTTCTTGGATGGTTGAGAAAACCGGCAACAGATGGCCGGTTCGAGATACAGCCCAAAAACCAACCTGCCATGCCAAAAAACAAAACAAAAAAAAACGTCCATGCAGGCAGGTGACAACCCTGGTTTTAGTGCTCCTGGGAATTCCATTTTTCGTGCATGCTGTACGTTACTTTCATAATGACCTTTTGCCGGTACAGAAAAGGGCACAGCCAGGGTGTGTACTAAATATCCAGCGGCGCTTTGGGAAACTTGTGATTGCAGGAAAAGGCGATGAACCAAAGACTACTGCCCTTCCCAGTCAGCAATTTTTGCTTATCTCCCGCCATGGTTAAGTAACACCGTTTTCACCGAGGTCACCATTGGCTCTCCAATTACTGGAAGTGGGCTTTCTTTCGGTGTTTCAGATAAAATATCAAATCGTGCCAAAAATAGTGGTGGGCTATCTTTCGGGGGTGGGGCATTTCTAGGGATATTATGGTGGTCCTCCCAGGTATGACTTGTCATCGTCCTTAACCTTGTGTGAAATGGAACAATTTTATCCTTTAACTGGTGCTTTTCCTAAGAAAAAGCTGGCTTTTAATTACTTTGGTGCACTGCGCGGTACTTATTGCATGGAAAAAACCGACTGAAATGAGGTGGGAATTGTCACTTTTAACGCCGTCCCGTTTCTACAACTTTCGATTAGACGCTCTCACGCTTCTCGTTTTCGGCGTGTCCCAGAGCTTTCTGTTCATGAAATTCTGAGTAACTCGAGTTGTGTGTTCACCATTCCAGTATGGCCTGTTACTTGATCGACGCCTTTGGAAATCACGAGCAAAAGCTTAGGTGGCTTCCACAGCTGTGTACGATGGAAAAGTTTGCGTCCTACTGCCTCACCGAACCGGGTAATAAATTCAATTATATTTATTTTCTTGATATGTGTTGAGTTTCTCTCAGACCGGGAAAAAAGGTGCATTGGAGTCTCGATACCAAAAGTACATATTTTAAGTATCACATTTTTAGAAAATGCCCTACAATTCCAAACGTGCACCTCTCATTTTGACTCATGCACTGCCTAGTGAGCCTAGTATGAGGAGTTCTGCGCTTTGTTAGTATCTGGTGCCTCCAAACCAAATTGTGTGGACAATGCGCTGAAAAAGCTAGAGAATGATGAAGCGTTATTCGGCTAGTTCGGATACATAACCCGGCCACAATGACTTTGCTGCACGTGCAGGCAGTGGCAGCGATGCTGCGTCGCTGAGCACGACGGCCAAGCGGGACGGTGACGACTACATCCTGAACGGCAGCAAGGCTTTCATCAGCGGCTCAGGGACCAGCGACATCTACGTCATAATGGTCCGGACGGGCGGTCCGGGCCCCAAGGGGATCTCGGCAGTGGTCGTGGAGAAAGGAACGCGCGGACTCAGCTTCGGCAAAAAGGAGAAGAAGGTGCACTCTCTTTTCGGTTGGCACGTAGAATCCTTTATCGGCGGGGATGGAGTCTCTGCATCGGTCGTGCCATCCTCTTGCAAACGGACAGAAAATTAAGCTGCTGCTTTGGTTTACCGCTCGAATGTCCCGTATGCAGAGTGCTTTGGCGGTATAGACAGAAATCTGGGCAGCGTGATGTCACATGGCGTCGGGGTGTCAGGCAGTTGTCACGTGATAATGTCATGCGGCACTGACACTTAATGTCACATAACACTGTCTCTTCATGTCACCTGACATCACGTGAGACTCGCTTGATGTCACATGAGACTGACACTCAATGTCTTGTGAGGCTGTCACTTGATGTCACGTGAGACGCACGTGATGTCACATGAGACTGCCACTTTAGGTCATGCGAGATTGTCACTTCACGTCACGTGACACTGTCTCTTGATGTCACGTGAGATGCACGTGATGTCACATGAGTCTGCCACTTAAAGTCATGTGAGACTGTCACTTAATGTAACATGTTGCGCCACATCGCACCATGACTTGGTAAGCCACATTTCAAGTTCCAAAATTGGTGTTGACATGTGTCACTGTGATGTCACGTCAGCTGATCTGGCCTGACGCATGTCACTTGACCACCGAACCCAGAGAGGCACCAGCCTCGTTACCATGTGGCCTGTAACCGGCGCCTTGCTAAATTTAGCAGGACATTTGCCTGCTAAATATTTCCGATGACTGCACGTACGTGGATGCATCAGTAACATAAATCCCAACGTATCTTTTATTAAAATGTGCTCTGCATTAAAAATAAAAGGACAGAATTGAGCTACTTTGAACAAACACAAATAAGTGTGTCAATGTATAGGTACGAAAGTGAAAACGTAAGGGGTCGAGGTGGCTGCAAGCCTAGCTTGCAATGGCATTTATCTCTGGGTGCCGGAACTCGTTTTTAACGAACCTCGGTTGGGAGATGGTAGTGAAATAGAGGAGAGGAAATGGGGAATAAGCTGACGAAAGAGGGGGAGACAAAATTCGTGAATGGATGCAATCAAGGCCTGTCCACGCACTCACCTGAATCTTGCTCTCAAAACGGGCTCGCTATATGAGCCACACTTGTGGTATCGGCACCCTTATCCCAGATTATATGTTGGGTGCCGCGCCGTCATTTTCGTGCTTAGTGGAGAGCGGCCACAATTGGCGACAATTAGGATTTGAAAACACAACTTCTGAATCTTTAGATACAGTGTCGGAAGGCTCGGTAGATGTTGTTGTTCTCCATCGTGGACTGTTTTAACATTCATGGAGGATGGAAAAGCATTTCCTTGATGTTCAGACGAAGCTTTGGGTAAGTGGCAACAGCGATTTGGAGCATCAAGATGGCTGAAGTGCCGGCACGTGTAAGGTATACATAGGTGTGGACACCATTCCCGTGGCAGCTGTCCATATAAAGTCCTCTCCTCACCAGGGCAGACGTGCCGAGTGGAAAGCGCGTGTACCGCCATGCCACAGGAACAAAACACCTTTTCGTTTTTGCCCATTTGTCTGTCTCCCAGTTGCGCCATCTGGCCGGCAGAGACGCTGCCGGCATAGGCTAGTTGGGCGCATGCCAATGGGACTTCTGCTCGATCACGTCGCAGCGTTTGCCATGCTGTGCGTCCTCACCTAAAGAGTATCTTACACCGTGCTCTGAAGTGTATCTTAGTTAGAGGCTCTATCTCAAGGTGGTGTCGACTCTCGTCTGCCTCGCAGCTTGGCTGGAACACGCAGCCGACGCGAATGGTGATCCTGGAAGACTGTCGAGTTCCTGTGGCCAATCGTTTGGGTGAAGAGGGCCAGGGATTCCAGTTTGCCATGAAGGGGCTGGACGGAGGTCGCGTCAACATTGGTATGACGGCCCCTTGGTATCATTCAGAAGTTTTTATAATTCGGAGTGCTTTGCAATGCAGACTAGTGCAGGCTGTTTGGTTAGTCTGCATTGTATTCTATTCATATATTATGGATTGTTTCAAATTCGAAACCCCCCATTTATGTTGCTCAACTGCAAAAACCTACCGTATTTTATCTCAAGAGATAGTCTACCTAAAATAGAGAGCAAATCAGGTGAAAATGAGGAGTCGGCTAACTTTCAGTGTGCGATCAACAAAAGTTCAAAAAGTGCTGTTTCTAGATCATGTGACCTGCTAAACTTGTTATCTCTACAAGGGGCAATGAAGCAAAGATGACTGTCCTCTTCAGTCAGCAGTACCAGCTTATCTTCTATCGTAGCTAACTAACCAGATTTCCACCAATATCACCATTGGCCCCAGGCACTGCATTTACTAGAAGTGGGGTTTCTTTCTGTGTTTTTGAAGGCAAAATTGCAAATCAAGCCAAAAATAGGGCTCGTTATCTTTAGGAGGTGAGACGTCTTGCGGTATACTATTAAAGTAAGCTGGCGTGTCACGAGATGGTTTACAAAAGACTATCTCACTCGTTTTTTTTCATGAATTTCGCCACTTTTTTTGGTTTTGAGGTTTCTCCAATTGCACACTGCCCAGTCACTCCTGAAATTTTTTAAAATTTTGAACTTTTGAAATTGAGTTTTCTGCTAAGAGTTGAAGAGACGAAGCTGCTGTCGTCTATGGGTGCAAATATCTCGCACGGTTTTCGTTTTCTCTTCTGCTTTCATGCGCTACGCCACAGCCGCGTGTTAAGGTATCAGAAAGGTAGCCCGATGAATTAATCATGTGGCTGCTAAACATTGCTAAATACGCCTAAGCGCCTAGCAGCATGTATAGCAGCAGAGATTCAATTGAGTTGGTGTCAAAGACTTGGTGTAGCACCACATGAACTTGCTTCTTTGCTTTCTATCTTCATGATTTGTTTATTTTATTTCTTGTGTCACCGTGGCGATCTAGTTATCTGGAGAAGTTTCCTCTAGGTGCACCAGTAGGCCAGGCCACAACATGACTGAGTGGCCGTGTTCTCACTGCCACGGCCTCGATCGGAGGCGCGGCGAGATGATTATTTCGGGTTTAAGTTTGATTGTGGAACTCCGCTCAAACGAGGTGTGCCGGCAGGAGGCAAGCACTCCTGTTTCGTGTGTTTCGACAGATTTCAGACAGGCGTGCTTCTCCCTGCAGCGTCGTGTTCAATGGGGGCCGCAGCCGCCAGCATTGACGTTGCCATCGAGCACATGAAGGTTCGGAAGCAGTTTGGAAAGCCCCTGGCAGCATTTCAGGTCAGCAAACTGCCGTCGACTTTTGGAGGACGCGCATACGCTTGCATGCCTTAGGAATGAGTGCGGTTTTTATGATAAGGCTTTGCAAACTGGGCGCGATAACGCTATCACATTCCACTCTTAAAGGCGAAGCTTAAGTGTCCCTCAAGTATTTTTTGTTCACCGAATCTTGTTCACAAGAGCAGAATTCAGCAAAAGATGTAGCATGTGAGCATTGTGCACGTCTCGGAGTCTGTACCTTACATTTATTTGGTCACTCAAGCTGTATGTGCATCTCGCACATGGGTTAACTTCACTAAACCTTCATAAAATTGGGACCGAACCCTTCTGCAAGGAACGAACACACATGACAATCTGCTGCCTGCTATGAAAGTTGTTTGTGTTCTGTGGTTTATGGTTGGCAACCTTGGTGACCTTTGGTTGGTAGCATTGGTGGCGTTTGGTGCTGCCCTGTTTTGCTGTTTATGTTGTTAAAGTCAGGAAAGTCAAGTATGTCAAGATAGTTAAACCATGGGGACATAGAACGCACCTGTTCTGACCTCTTGTTGGTTTAGATTGACACATTTTCCCTACATACCACTTTTAAGGACAGTTTACCCATCTTTACTCATTTGGGTAAAGTTTACTTTCATATTCCCACCCCCTCTTTGGCAAGTTCATGCGTGCTCCAACATGAAATTGTTTGTACTGCTTTGAACAGCACCACCAGTTCTTGCTGGCCAAGATGGCCACAGCGTTGCAGACATCTCGTCTGATCGTGCGCAAGGCGGCAGAGTCCATTGACCTCGACTCTCCTTACAAGACTGCTTTGTGTGCCATGGCAAAGCTGCACGGCACAGAGGCAGGATTTAAGGTGAAGTAGCCTCGCCTGCTGTCACCAACGTTTGCGGAGTGTGTACTGCACTCACCAAACTCGATTTCACCGCAAGTGCTAGCGAAGTGAAAGCTGCAAGCACGAGCATATTGCCTTGAACAGCGCTTTCTCTGCGTGTGCTCACATGCCCTTTAGGCATGCTTAAAGTATGACATTTTTTCTTGTAACATCTGCTCTAATCATACTTATGGTGAAATGGGGTATATCAAGTTCTGTAAACAAAAGCAAAGCTCGCAAGTTAGTTTTATGCAGTCGTATTGGCGCAAACTGAGACATTCTATTGGTTGTGTAGTATGGCTCTTGCACTAATAGGCTTTTCGTTTTTCCTTACCTTGAAATGCTATTTCTACTAGTTAGAAATGTGCAATTCTCATTATTCATTGAATGCCTTTTTTTGTTTCTTTTTAAAGTTGATGTATGCCAATATGTCGACTCAGCCAGAAATCTTGTCTGGATTCAAGAGCCTTGAAGGCTTTTTTGGGGAAGGTTCTATATTGTAGGGTTTGGCCAAGATAAACTTCAGGGTAAACAAATGACCATATGCGCAGGGCATTGCTTTCTCCGTGAGATTGGCCTTAAAACTTGGCATGTGACGGCGGCAAGCTGTTACTTTTCCTCAAAAGGTATATGTCTCATCGTTCGCCTATACTGTAAAACCCTTTATTTTCGTGGCCCCTATTTTTCGCGAATCGGTCACAGATGACATGCTTGCGACCACTAAATTTCGCGAATTCCAGATGCCTGCATTGAAAATCTTAAGGATCGAAATTTTCGCGTGCCCTCAAATTTCGCAAATTCTTCAATTCGGGAAATTTGCGAAAATTGAGGGCTCGCGAACATTAAGGGTTTTACAGTATATGTCAAAATAATGAAGTGCTACACCATCCCTACAGAAATAAGAACTAACATCATTTGTGTTGAGACAGCTAGTTGTGGTCGAGCTTGCTCAAGGAAGACAGAGCTCGAGTTTTTAAATTTCACCGGGTAGATGCGACTACAGAGAATGCCCCGACAGAAATTGTCAATTACCACTTTATCAAGGTGGCAATTTTCGTAAATTGTTTTAGGGCATACGGGTTAATTTTTGCGATGTCCTGTTTGTTTGCGACTATCTGGCTGCCACAGTTCAAACTATTCATGTTTCTTTTGTGCTGCTGCTTTGAAGAGAGTATGGGTGCAGAAAGAACCCAGTGATCCCACTCCTGCGCCCAATGCGCCATTTTGCTCCTGAGGCAATTTAACGCGCCATCCTGATAAAGATCTGCCATATTGTGACAAATTGCGTAGCTGGCCGAATCCGACAACGACTTCCGCCAGCTATCCTAGCCATACGCAACCTGAGCCATGGCAAAGTGAAGGACATAAGCTGTATTTTTTAATGAGGGAAGTGCAAGCCTTTCTGAAAATGTGACTAGGCTGGCAGGCCTAAACGAAAAGCTGCAAAAGCTTTAAGGGTTGGCCTTTGATACATTCTTTCCTTTAAAAATAAACAATGCACAGTAAGTTGTATCAACAGATGTGTCATCCTTTTTATATGAGAAAGATCTGTTTACTAATCCATCACATTGGATTTCTATGAAAGAACAAAGTGGGTTGTACTGTCTACAGCAAAAAAAGCCCCAAAAAGTTGGGTAGGAGATTCATAAACTTTAAAATTATTTTTATGAAATTTAGGTCATCATAAGATTTCATAACTGCATGCTCAAAAGTACCTTTGAAAGTGATAGGTGTTCAAAAGGACTCCGAATTTCATGTTTATGTGCTCCAAAAGTCATTCTTAATTAGGTGCTCCAAAACTCGTTTTCAGTTGCTCCAAAAATAGCTCCCAATCACAATTTTGCAGTAGCATCACTGAATAACCTTGAAAAAGAGACAGGCAAGCTGACAAACCTTCAGCAGTGTAAGAAGCCAGGAACTGCACAACAGAAGAGAGTGACAATAAACGGACAAACATCTTCATTCTCCAATCTCGCCTGCAAACATCCTTTGTTCACCAGCTGTTTAACGCAAAATTTCACAAGAACACCCACCTAAAATGAAGAGATTAGTGGTGAAAAACATGGGGTGGGCTATCTTTGGAGATGCGACAGCTAAGCTCTATAAAAACAAATTGGTGATAAAACACCGGGGTATCCGCTTTCAAACCAAATGAAATGGGAACTGATGCCGCCGATCGCGAACAGGGCAGATTTGCGTTTCACAATGCGATAAACACACTGGAATCCTCTATGAATTCCTAGCTGTGTCACAAGAAAAGATATCGCAGATTGCAAACGCAGCAGATTCGCTTTTCACGGTCCGAAGGACGCACGGGAACCCGCCGCGCACACGCGTGTCACGGAAACCGATACCGCAGATCGCTGACGCAGCATATTTGCGTTTTAGGGTGCAATAAACGTGCTCACTTCCTTTTAATACCGCTATCTTTATGAACTGTGGCATGTAAACGACGAATTTGTCGCAGCTATCCTAATCGAGGGGATTTATAACTGTGCTTGCTATATGCAAGTATTTTCTTCCATTTCAAATTTGCATGCATTAGGCAGACGTTGCTGCCTAATGCATACACTTGCAGAATCGCGGCAGGTTATCCCCTTTGATCTCACCGAGCGCCTGTGCACTGCGGGGAAGCAGTATCTCCAGAGCTCGCAAGCTCCGCGAGTATTGCTTCCCCGCAGCGCACAGGTGTTTGGTGAGAAGCCCACTCATCAGAGCTCCCCCGTCGCGATCAACACTTTGAAAAATATGAATATCGCAGTTCGTCTCGAAGCAAATATCGAATAGCATATTATTCGAAACCACTCTTTGAAAATTAGAATATTCGCACAACCCTGCAGTGATGTTCATACAGTGTGGAGAATTCAAGGTACTCAAATATATTTATCTTGTTTCTTGTCTTCTTGACTTTTTAGGTTACGAACCAGGCGCTACAGATGATGGGAGGCTATGGTTTCATCAAGGAGTATCCGATTCAGCAGTATCTACGGGACTTGAGGGCTCACCTCATCATAGAGGGTAGGTTCATGCTTGCAGTATTTCTGTATTTATTTATTAATTGTACCTCATGGTTTAAGCAGTACTACAGCTGTAAGAGAGCGAGTTACAAACATTATCAAAAAAGTTAACAGCAGCCAAAACCAAATATAATCGCTTAACAGTGCATTGACTCTAACCTAATGTCTGATATAGTGGCAGTAGATGGAAAAAAGCAGTTGCACTCGTATGATTTGGGGATAAGAGCTATAAAAAGAGCTTGTGTTGTGTGTGCGGCTTTGCAACGCTGATCGAGGAAAGAGGACGTACAGCTCGGGCCATTAAATTAGTTAGGAGTTGATTTTGTTACGTTTAAATTATTGTAATGTGTTTCACAAAATAAGCACGGATGAGAGGCTATCTACCAGGTGAAGAGAGGGGGCAATGAGTCACTATAGGTTTGATGAAAGCAGGTTTTGAGGTACTATGCCTCTTGGGTAGAAAATGCCAACGCATCTTATGAAGTAACTGGGGGCTGCCTTGATCTGTTGCCCAGGTACAAACGAAATGATGCAACTGGTGATCTCCAGAGACATTCTTAGGGACTGAGGGAAGGTCGTTTCGGAGCATTCATGGTGAGTCGGGCGTCTACGCCCTTGTATGGAGTCGGAGCGTAGCTTCCACTCTGGAGCGTAGCTTCCACAGTGCTCCGGCCCTGCACTGCCACGAGAGCGCGTGGCAGCATGTGGCTTTGTCTGGCGTCGCAGTTGCTCGCATGGCTAGTTTCATCAGAGTTAGATCACTGCTGAAGCTACGCTGACCTTGACAATATGGCCCTAAACAGTTGACGCCATGTATAGAACTACCTTTATTGGTACCTAGAGTGAAAGATCTAGCGACGAGCTATAGTCGTTTAGCTAAACTTACAAAATCTGGCATGTACACTGCGCAAGCCTGAATTTTGATTTCGACAACGAATGCAGCGTCACTTTAGTGTTTCTGGTCTCTCCTCAGAGCGTAATGGGGTCTCGTTTTAAAGGATTCGACCTATTGGCATGCAGCATTTGGTTTACACTACCGTATTTATATCGTATTATTGTATAAATGGCTGTTTTAGTGAAATAGTTGGTAAATAAGTCGCGCCTTTCTACAAGTCACACTTACTGTAAAATAATGCGGAAGTACCCACTTTGTTTGTACCAAGTGCCCACTGTTAACATCTCCCAAACTTATGAATTCTGCAAATCATGTATTAAGCACTGACCCCCTCCAAAGCACTGGCATCAGCTGAAAATATTCGTCCCGTCGCGGCGGCCACAAGAACACCAGCGGCGATGACGGGGATATTGTGCGAGAATAAAGGTGCCTTCTCCAATCCCATTCACCCTAACTTCAAAGCTCTTTATTGGCCGCCATCTTGTTTTTACCGATTTCACTGGACAAGCGCTCGTGTCTAGATGAACCCAGTTTTCAGTGAAAGTGGGGTGGCGCTTCCGCAGTATTTTACGGTATGTATATTAATGCGAAAGCATTAGCTATCTCGTGGAGCGAGCTGACGTCATCAGTTTAAAGCGCGAAAACGACTCCTAGTTTCTGCGGCCCTAATAGGAGCGATTCGCCTTCCATTGGCTGGCGCGCGTCGACGGGGCTCCCATTGGCCGCTGCGCCATGGCCTCCGAGATCCCTAAGCGCGCGCGCGCTAGTACGCAGCATACGACAAAGGGAGCGGACGAGCATACGACAAAGAGACGAGCGGCTTGCATGCTTTCGCATTCAGAACTCATAAGAAGTGTTTAGGTGTACATCAAGCTGTTTTTGTACAGTTGGCACTGCAAAACTGCACTTAAGCCACTTTCAATATTCTCACATACAAAATCAAACGAGAAATATGACCTCCGTGGCAAATTTGCACAGTTAAGGTTCCTACTTAATTCAGAAAAACAAACTCGTTCAAGTCGCACGATTGCACAAAACTCAGCAGCGACACTTCTGGAAAAACACCGCGATTTTTACACTGGAAACTATATGGTAGTCGTGTTGTATCACATTGTAGCTACATTGGCTGTCTGTAACTTTTCTTACTGGAATTGTCCATCGATTCTGTTTAGAGCCATCGTACAAGGTTCCTTCCACAGCATCTTACTTTTCTCTTCGTCCGTTTTTTCCTCAGGTTTCGTCCAGTGCCGTTTTCAGATATGGATAAGGACGGAGAACCACTTTGCTGTTAGAAACTGCTGTTTCAGGATGTAGAATCTTCGTGCTGTCTGGTGATCGCTGTGAGACACTGTGCTCACAAGTCTGGAAAACTTCGTTTCTCTCTCCTTGGCGGCTCTGTCAGAGAGTCGCGACATAAGTGAAAGTCAGAAGTTAAACTTACAAATAATGGTTACAACATTATTGGTCACAGCAGCGTTATGGGCATCAGCATTACTGTAGGTTTCAAAAAACAATTTATGGTCCAAATTAAACATTTTACAAAGTTTACTTTCTGGGCTGCATTTGTGCTGACTTGGAAGAGAACCTTTGCTGTGGGTTTCTAAATAGAGCAGCATATAATCCTCATTTACTCAAAAAGGTATTGGAGATAATTAAAAAAATAATTTTAATTAAAAAAAATTATTTAAATAAGGGTGTTTTTTTTTGTTGTTTCTTTACTTTTTGGGGTGTGAAACGTGCTGCCCATATTTTTCTGCAATTTTTAGGCTACTAGTATTTTTTCACGACGTGCAGCACAAAACCTCCGTCAAGAAGTTAAGGAAAAGGATGGATGGGTATGTGGCTTAACCCTTTGAATTGGGCAGTAGCTTGCACCACCTAGCTGCTCCATCGACCAACATCGCCTAGATAAGAAAAGGCGTGGATGCTGCTCCTGCGGTGTCGCAAGGTGGTGGCCAACCGGTGACACAGTACTGCGCTGAAATTAAGTAATAATCATGTTGATGTTTTGTCATAGGAACAAGTTTCCATTAAAAAATTATTGTTTTAAAAGCTATAAGGATAGCTATAAACAACCATTGGGCTGAAAGAAAACATCATTAATGTACAATAAACAATGCTGAGGAGGTGCTTGAAATCAATATTTAGTCGTCCGCTGGGGCATGGCAGATGCCCGTTGTTAGTTTAATGCACAAGCCTTCAAGCCTTTTTTTTCCTCACTAGACTGTTTGCAAAATGCACGGCGCCATCTAGTGGGGCGCCGAAGAACATGCTCCATCTCACCAGTTGGCTTTGGCGCTGGCAAAGGCCAGGGTGCAAAAGCGTAGTTCCGAAGAATCCTTTGCTCGCTCAAGCACTCGCGCAGAGAAAGCGCTTTCGAAAACCAGGCGCCAACGCCCGTGCCTTTGCCGGCACTCGGAGCCAATTTTCGAGCTGAAGAGTTTGTTCGCCATGTTGGTTGCGGTGAGAAACCAGCAACCGGCGGGGCAATGAGCACGTACATGTGCAAGAAGAGAGTAAAACTCTGCTCACCCTTAGCCCACAGGTGTAGGTGAGAATCGATTAACGCCACCAAATTGACAAACAGCAGAGGAATGTCGACGCAACAAAGATGGCAGCGCACAGAGTGTTGCCAGACGTTCGAACAATTTCGCACATGGTATACACCGTTCCAAGTAGGTCGATACAGAAAGGGAAAGACACTCTCGAACCAGAGCGCTGCGTCAACGCTCCACTTACCCTTGCCCTCAAAAGCTCGTCTGCTTCACGGAGTGGACTGTTAGAAAGCATGTGCGCAGTGTACAGAGGCAAGTTGCTTCGACAATGTTAGGCGCCGCTTTATATTATAGCGTATTTTCGCGCGTGACATGGCCTATGCAAGAGAAGAATCGACCGGGCAGCACTGTGCTGTAATTGTTTGCAAAAATAATAACAAAAAAATAAATAAATAAATAAATGCCGATTCAGTGTGCGAGACCCATGCTGTCAAACAGGATAAATGTGGGTGCGGCATGTTTCTGCTGCACCGGTTCCGCGCTGCTCCAGACCTACGACGCCGGTGGCTGGCGAATTTAAACAGGAAAGACTTCTTGCCATCGAAGGGCAGTCGTGTGTGCTCCGACCATTTTTTGGACGGCCGGCGAACTGCGGAGAACCCCGTGCCGTTCCTTCGCCTGGGCTACGACCGAAAGGTTAGTGGAGGGCGGCTTAGACATTGAAAAAAGAAACCAGTTGCGTGACTCCTGGTCTGCTGACTTAATAGTACACGCCACGACACAGTTTGCGCACAAATAATTCTCATGCGAGGCGATTACAGAGAGGCACATCAAGGTGCCAATATTTTGACAGTGGATTCCAAATCAGAAAAAAAAAAAAAAACGAATCCGTCTCACTTGCTATCTGTACTCGGTATTTATATATCGATTCATATTTAAATTTGAGGTTTCTACTATTTCAATCAAAGCAGACTTTGTAACGCAGGTCTGAGCCGCTAACCGCAGTTAGTTCAAATGTTTCCGGCGCCCCCAAGCTGCGACAACTCGAGTTTAGCGCAAATTCACATACCGTAATTCGTGCCATCCTGGCTTCGTTCATTCCTCAATTTCACTAGCGATTGTCAATTTCACTAGCGCTCCCCAATTTCGCTAGCGATCGAAACGCCGAGTTCGGGTTGGGAGCGACGACTGCCCCAGAACCGCGCTAAAAATTACCCACAAAAAGATGCCAGGAAAACAGGATGCACTTTTCCTTATGCCCGACATACAAATTAGGATAGTGCTTTCCTCCATGGACAAAGATGATGAGCCGAGGACGCCGATTACGACAGCCGTGCCGGTAGAAGCAGCTGCGATCGGTGTGACTCGGTGAGCAGAGTAACAGTCCAGTAATGGCGGTCGGTCGTTCGGGCGAGTTCAGATTCTCCCAAATGCCCGGATGAGGATAGGCGGCACTACACTCGTTAAAATGGCGTCGGCTAGGAAGCCCAGCTTGGAACGGTGTATATTGCAATTTTGTTTTATAAATGTTTGCTAATGAGAAATTGGTTTGGTAAATCGTTCATGCAAAGCGAGCGTGTTCCCCTTACAAAAATGCAACGCAGTGTGGTGTCGTAAATGCTGTGCCATTTGCGTCAGACTGCGCCAAGGTGCTTACCCTGAGACGTTCGGCCACATTTTACCAGAATGCTAGGAATTCGCACTGACACTGCATTTCACTGCGAGAACGGGAACCAACGGCTTGGGCGTGTACTGCCAGACCATTACGGTAAGAAGCTTGTACAAGTGTTGAAAGTATTTGGTTATCGATTAGAATAACGTAATAATTTACTTCATCTTTGTATCGAATGTGACGCAGTACTCGGAAGTTTGGCGATATTTCTCATTGCTCGTGGTCTTTGAGCAAGTTTATAGCTCCGTTGATTGCACTTGTTACCGTACACTGGTGCACTGAGGAAGAGCAATACCTGCGAAATGCACATTTGTATCATTTTGCATAAGATGGGTCTTTTGTGCACAAGCGTATTTAGAAAAAAAAAACACTTTGTGAAAGCTGATGGAACAACTGCCTTGAAGTAAAATTTGCAAAATAAAAACACAGTTAGCTTATATAGTAAACTGCGACGTTGCGACAGGTTGAACATAACATTGGTTGGGTTTTTCAAATTTGAGAATTGTAGCTGTACTGCACTACGTCAAAATCGAAACAATGACGAGAACCTTTTCTTGCTAGTTAATTTGAGCACGTTGTTATGAATACTTAAAAACGAAAGAATAAAAACATTGAAGACGTACACAGACGACCTTACTCTTTCGATTAGTAACTTTGCTAATCGAAACCGTGGTCATCTGTGTAGTGTACGTATTTAATGTTTTTATTCTTTTCTTGCCCAGAGACGGATGTCTGGCTAAGCCTTTTCTTCGTGAAATTATGTGATAGCATCGTGGGCCATTGTGGCATTTAATGACACAACACAAAAACGGGTGGAAGGGAAACAAAATTAAGATTGACTTCTTTCGTTTGGTTGAAATAAACGCCACAACGACCGCTCACTGTCATTCAATGGTTTCCCTGGGAGAGCTAGGCCTTCGATGAGATGACGTTGAATTATCTTTGTAAGAAAGTTAGGGCACAAACGAGCTGGGGATGGTTAAACATGATAGGCCAAAAACACAGACAGGATTTTTGTCAAGAAATATTGGCCGTGTTTGAGACCTGCATCGTGTCATCCCTCAATCTCTCCAGTCTTGTTGGTTTTAGTATATCATTAGCTCTTTTGTCGTTTTCTTTTAGCGCTGGGCTTTCATCATCTCTGCTCATCACATGTGCTCGTGCAATGTAAGCATCCTTTAGGGCAACACCCTTGTGCTTGCAGCTTAGTGTTTACGTGAACATTAAATCAATGAAAGGCTAATTAGTAGGTGGCAAAGGTCTGCGAGTCGGCATCGTCGAATGGCAGGCCCGCTGCTCAAGCTCGACAAGGTTGCTTGACCAGCCTTCCTTCTCTGCCGTAGGGGCACTGTGGGCCTTCCTCCCGGCATGGGCGTAACACCTCAACCCAGCTGCCTATAGTTCGCCCGAGTTGAATAAACGAGCAAGTTCTGCAATCACTTGTCGACCTTATTTTTCCTTTATACAACGCCAGACTGCGTTTGCTCGCAAAAAGACCACTCAATTGAGCAGCTATCGATATTAAAGCCCCTATACCTGCCTCTGCCCCATCGTTTTGAGACATCCGAAACGCTTGTGAATATGTCACGCTTTTCTCTTTGGATTCATTGTATAAACTATGCTGCATGTGTCTGACATACTAATATGAACAGTATTTGAGGGAATGTAGGAGCACGTTGCCTTCAATATGCTATGCTGCACCACCTTGAGGCTGATGAAATTGCGGAGCGGAGAAGGGGACTGCGACAGTGTGCACATCAGAATATGCGCACTTTCTCGCAGCCCCTATCTCTACCCTGCGGTTTTATCAGCCTCAAGGTAGCGCTGCGTAGCATATCGAAGGCAACGTGCTCCTGATTCCCGCTCGCACTGTTCACAATAGCAGCTTTAGGAAGTTTACCGGATATGTCTGGCATACCTTTAAACACGGCAGTAAATCACTCTTCGAGGTTTGCTCTTTTCAAAAATTTAAAAGTCTTGATAAAATTTCTGGCGTAAAAACAGTTTGCCTTGAGAGTCCAAGCAAGAGAAACGTTGTGGGCTTCTCACAGGTCAAGCTACTGCGTACAGAGGTAAGGGGTGTCTTTTGGTACCTCTGTTCACTTGATAACTTTTAAATTGTGCGATTTCTTTTGTTATATTTAATTTTTCCCTACGGTTCTGCACGATTTTCTCACAAGTGTACCTTGAATATTTGTGGGAACGTATAAATATACAAGTTATCTTTGCTCTTATGTATGTGCGCATCTCGTTTGTATGGAAAATTTCGTTTTTGTTGACATGGTTCCCACTCTATGCCTTGGCCCCCAAAAGGTGGCCGACAGTATACCTCAAAGTCCACCTGTAAGAAATGTTTATACACAGTACACCTTGACAAATGC